TGAGTTGGGCTAAATCTGCTCTTAGATTTCTTTACTGTACAGTCACAGTTTGTTTTCTAGATGATGATAGTCAGTTTGACCTGCTATTCAAATGTTCTTCTCCTTCCTACATCACTGATGCTATTTGTGGCACAGGCTGCCTTGCTGGCTTGTTTTGGCCATCTGATGCTAGCTATTTACACATGTGAACATTCTCTCTGACGTGGTATTTTTTTTATTCATTGGTGATTTTTTTCCAGAAGCCACTCAAATGTTTCTATCGGCCTTGTTCTGCAGGTATCAGGATATATGAAATAAGCTTAAAGAGCCAAGTAACCCTTCTTCATGTGACTAGTTTCTGAATGAAAGTCAAAATACACAGCAGTTGAAGCAACTGTAGATAACATTACTAAAATTGTAAAACTTTAAAACAAGAGGTAGGGCATGTTCAGGAGGGCAACATTAGGCTAGGTCCTTAGAACTTGTTTTTTTTCTACACACCCAGAAATAGTTCTTTCCAATTCTGACTCAAATTCTTTCTTACCTGATATTATTGGTGATTTTCAGTCTTAGCTGCCACTTCTATGTAATCTTTCAGTCTGATAACCTGCCTGTCTTTAAAAAAGAAAGAAAGAAAAAAAACCCCAAACATTGCTTGTGCCTTTTCCACAATGACGGTACTCAGTGATTCTGGTCTAATATTAATATTAAGCAAAAAGAAGGCAAAGATACCCAGAAATACCAGCAGAAAAACTGCATTTCAGCACAAGAGCAGTATTTCAGATAGGACTTTGCAGTATCTTGCTCGCCGACAGACACAGTATTGTGATGGTTCTGGGATTACGGCAATTTGTCATCTTTTCATTTAGTCACTTTTTCATTGTGCATTGAGATTTTTAATTGAAAACATTTCTACGAAGCAGAGGACATCTTGGAAAATATACAGAAATGGACTTTTGAGTACTTAATAGAATTTATACAATTAATTTTATTTTCAGGGAGGAGTTAATTTTCCTGTACTTTTTATATAAAATAGCTGAAATCATTATGCAAACTCTTATTGGTACTTTTAAAGCTTCTTGGTTGAGTTTAAATCAGTTTAAACAAAATGATAAATTTAAATTATGAGGGTTTTTTTTTTTGTGGAAAGCGGTTCATTACAAAACAGCACAGACTATGAACTTGACAAGTTACTGAAAATATGATGGAGTATGTAGGGAAGTCTCAAGTTTTACAGTTTTAGGCTGCCAGCTTATGCACATGTGGGAATTGTAAGGAATTCATTTTTTTAATACTTTGTGGGCTCAATATGTATGGTAACTTTTATTTGTTTGAATACTGTTAGAGTAGCAGCAGAGTGTTTGGACGGACAATCCAAATCCCTTCCTTTAAATGGAAATACTGGTAACTCTGTGATTTTTTCAGTTTAAACCCCAGGCAGTTCATGAGTTACATCTTCAGTTTAAGATGCAACCCGTGTAAAATATCTAATTAAATTGTGGATTTCATGCAGTGTTTGATGTTCTGTTGAATCTGAAAAGGACCAGGCAAGCTGACTACTCTTCTTTTGGCAGGGTGATAGGGAAGAAAAAGAGTTGTTATTTCTAGCACAATATGTAACTCTATAGATTATCTCTGATCCTGTGAGGCTTTATGCTGCCTTAAAGGACCTCTTAAAGCTTTCCCTTACCTATAAGTCTTCTCAAGGCCAGTATAGCTGAATAGGAAATTTTAATTTTTTTTTCTCACTGTAGTGTAATTTTGTTTTCACTGTCACTTTCCTATCACTGTTACTGTTTAAACTTTCTTTAAAAAGAGTAAAGTCATCTTTTGTTCTGCAAAGCACAAGATTTGTGGTGCAGTATAGAAGAACGAGAAATTTCAATTGCAATAAATAAGTCCAAGTTTCTAGAAAATATGTTAACTGAGAGTTGCATACTTGCTTTCATAAAAATTTGCAGACATGATCAGTGTCAAATTCACCGCAAATTTTGGACCAGGTGATTGTCTTCATATGCTCATATACTTGAAGGTATTTCCTTGGTAGATCTGCCATCAGCAATTACTGACTGACTCTCACCTATTGTATCCTGCAAATGCATCCAGCATCACTTGAACAGGTCACAGCTACATTGGGGCTAGACTGTAAAATAAAATAATTTAAGAAACGCTATATTCTGTTGAAGCTATGATAATCTTAGTAGGAAAAACCCCCAGTGGGTACTGTACAAATACATACTTTAGGCCTGATGTAGATTATTTAAAATCATTGTCAGTTAATAGCTATGCAGTGATGTTTTTGTGGGTTAGATTACAGATAGTACTGTTTTGCATGATTGATTAAGCAAATATTGTACAAAACACAACATTATGTAAGCAATTACTCATGTTGGCTATTCCTTCATGTGTTGTATTAAATACTAGAGTAGAAAGCTGTAGTCAAGTTGGGCTTATATTACTAGCTACCAAACTTCGAAAGGGGTGATGGTAAGATTTTTCTGAAATGATTTATGCTCCTATATGACTAAGATACTATGAATAGTTATCCTATAAGCATTCTGGATTGTAGGATGGGACTTTTCTTTTGATTCTTTCAATGCATAAAGCATCTGCTACATGGGAGGGAAGAAGTGTAAGCATGTTGGGGTAATACTCTGCCTGTAGGATTATTTTTGTGAACCTAATCTTTGTATAAACAACATGCAGTTACTTTTATAATTTTAACATTGGTGGAGACCAGTGATTTTTATTTACATTACCACATTGGTATTGCTCAACACTTAAAATATAAAATTGAATTAATTTTCTATAATGTTTCATGACAACTCAGGATTTTGCTTTGCGGCAGTCTGCAACTATGTGGGAGATTTTAGAAAATACATCTTTGGCTTTTTCCTCTTGCCATTAAATTATGATAACTAGGGAAAATTTGATTGTAATCTATTAATAAATAATGAGAAACCGCAGTATGTGCTTGGGAAATTCTTATCTTAAAAGTCTATTGCTGATAACCACCTTTGCCTGCATCCTCCTGCTGTTTATTTCCACTTCTGCTACTTCAGATGCTAAGCACTTGGGAGCTCTGATTACACTTCTGTGAATAATGGATTATTTTTTAAAAATAAACTTGATATAAAGTAGTTTGGGCTATAACAATGTTTTAGGGTTATATTATTTGTATTTTTGATAATGTTTTGGAGGTACACTTCTTCACTATAACGTTCACTTCTCAAGTGTAGATTTGTCTGAGGTGGATCCTGCTGGCTGCGTGCCTCCCATCATTTTTCATATGTTCAGACACTTCATTAGTGCTGTTTGTGTCCACATTCTGCTACCCTGAAGACACAGAGAATTGCCTCCAGCAGCTAGTCAGCTCCTTCTGATCAGTCTTCATAAAAACTGGAAAAAGACTTTTTTTCCATTTTTTGGAGACTGTTGGCAAGAAGTAACAAGTAGCTGTGTGTCAACAGTTCTGCTCTGTACTGCCCTGGAACTACTTTGAGGTAGCGTACCACTCTTGCAAAAAGACTCCTTGCCCTGCTGTTTTGGAGAGGTGAATGACAATTAAGTTGTCTACGGCTTGTGGCTTTTCATGTAGGTAGGTGACAGAGACCCCATCATAAGTTCCTTTCAATATTAATTTTTATCTTTTAAATTTTTTGCTATATTTGTTTGTTGGGTTTGTTTTTTTTTCCCCAAAAATGCCACCGGGAGATAAAATATTTCTTGATGCTGAGTTGTGTTGGTTTGTTTTTATTTTTTACTTTAAAGTAGTAGGACAGGAACCACTTTCTAAGTGGTAGGAAACGACATTTGAAAGGGGCAGTGGCTTGTATTGCTTTTTCCAATTAAGATATGTGATGAAAGCGTAATTTACTGGAGCCCAGTCACCCGTAATGCAGGCTACATCGGCTGCTTTCTGGAGTTAGCTGCTAGCAGAAATTTGTCAGCAACAATTTAAAGCTTGATTAAAATTTTTGAGTTGGTTGACTGCAAGGTTTTTAACTACTGTTTTCTGGCTCAGGTGCCCAGTTTGGGAGGAGAGATCAGGTTGCCAGGAAAAAAGCCTTTTTCTGTCCTTTCGATATCAGATGCTTGCTGACCCCAGGGTTGCTTATATAGATACTCAAAGGGGATTACCTTAACATAGCCACAGTGCTTAAAGAACTGCATCTGTAGAGCCCATAAGCTACTTTGCTTCTTCTGCAACATTGGGAGTTGTATTGCCTAAGTTGTGGACATAGGCAATAAAACAATTTGCTTTTTTTGTCTCCAGGAGAAATTATGATGGTGTGCAAGATCTAACAGGACCCATAGTTGAAATCATTCTGAATTCCTGTGCATATCTGCAGCAGAAGTGGGGCATATATGTCCTTTACACAAGACTAATTCCTGAAGTAGGCAGAAGACTGTAGTTTGTCTGTCAAAGCACAACACTATTTTTTTTCCTTTTTTTTTTTTAGTTGTACTCTGTTTCTTGTGACTGAAATAGTTTGAATTTTCCAATGTAAAATCTACTGGGGAAAATAAATTCACCTGGCTTGAGCTATAAGAGCACTTGTTTGCCATTGAAACTTAGTATGTTTCTAAAAGGAGGAAGAACTATTACAGAAGTTACTGGATGTTTGTTTGACTTGGCAAAACAGAGGTATACGTTGAGCTCCTAAGTTTGTGCTCACTGCTTGTTTTACTTAAATTAAGAATATATTAAAATGTTTTGTTCGAGTAAATCCTATTCCCATTACAGAAGGGTTTTTTTAATTAAAAAAAAAATTACACTTTTATATCCATGACACTGTTTATAAATTATCTTCACAGCTTTCTGGAGTGTCAACTTTCAGTTGTTAACAAAAACTCCCCTGCATTTCATGATATGAATGGAATGCAAGGGGCGGGGAGGGCGGAAGAAATGGAAGTGCCAGGTGTTTGTTCTGCTGCAACCTCTTGTTCTGTCCTATCTTCTGCCTTTCTCAAATAGTAAAACTACATACTTGTTTTTGCTAATTTTGTTATTAAAACAGGCAACAACAGAGAGACCTTTTATACAGAAGCTATTTCGACCAATTGCTTCAGGAGGACAGTTGCATACTTTGGGAGATCTGCTAAAAGATGTGTGTCCTAGTGCTATCACCTCTGAAGGTACTGTAGAAACAACTTTTGTCCAATAAGATAATTTTTTCTGTTGATTTATTGTTTAATTTTGGGGGTTTGGTTTGGTTTTTAGGGGTTTTTAATATGGCGATTTTGGAGGTACAACTATGTCTCCGTACCACAGTTTCAGATTTCATCCCTTCCTGGCCCTTTAGTGTGCCCATTATACATTACCTGCAACGTTTGGAGAGATTCAGTCCTTAGGCACTCCTGAAATTAATCTTTGGAAGTTTTATTTTAAAATTTGTCTACTCCTTTGCAATCATGCTCTTAAAAACATTCACATGTTATTTTCTGCATTTTTAAAAAATATTCTTAAATGAACATCAACAGAAGTTGTATTTTAAGTTACCTTTAATTTTGTATTGCATAAACTTTTCATATGTAAAACTCCAAAATTGATAGAAATTTAAGGTGTTTTCAGAATATTTTTTTCCTTGTTGAAAAGAAAGAGATTGTTATAAGTATGTAATAGTTTATTTATGGTTACTAAGTAGTATTGTGTGACAAGACACCAATCAGTTCATGTAGCATTATATCATTTCATACAATAGCATTTATTCAGAAAAATAAACGTAAAAGTTATCAGACTTACAATATTTGTAATCTTTGAGGTTAAAATAACATCCAGAAATGCTTATCCCACCTGAAAAGTGTATGTACTTAGCAAATTAAGATCAAAATTATTCAATGTGAAATGTTTTTCATCTTGTTCTTGCTGTTGTCTTACCAGTACCTGTAAATGGGTAACTTTTTTCAGTCAGTATTTTGCAATTTATTTTGAGAAATCGCTGATATTCTAGAAAATATCTTGGCAAAGAATTTACTGGTGTAGCATCAGGACCTTTTGACAACTAAATTTGAAATCAGTGTAACAGTCTCTAAGATGTTGTATGTAGAAGTCATGTAATTCAAAATCAAACAGTTGTCATGGATTTCTTTAAGTATGGTGATCTTAGAAATTGACTGAAATCTCCAAAGTATTTTTTTACCCCTCATTTAATCCTTGTTAACACATGGAAACAATTTCTAAAAATAACAAAAGGTTAGAAAAATATGGAATATTGCTATCCATGTGTCCATTTTTCATAAAGCTACTATAAATTTTAGAGCATAATTTTAGGTAATACTTTCAACTAACTGTCCAAAAGATAAAGCAAGATACAAATAGATACTTGAATGTTAGCAAAAGCAAGTTTAACCATCTTTAAGTACTTAAGTGTGAGGATCCTACAGACACTAGTGAAAAGGTACAAAGTGAATTTTAAAAAAAAGACTAAGAAGGATGATGCTTTTTGACTTGGAAGGCAAAGAGCACAAATTAAATGAAAGAAACTCAAAAAGCATTTATGCAAAAGTTATTCCAGGATATAATGGATGATATTTTTAATGTGGATTTGCTAAAACTGCAGATGGCAAATGTGCTAGTTACTGCCTTTATTAAAAGCATGAATGTAATGTAATTTTAATCTGAGTACCAGTAACTTGATGTTTCCCATTAGTAGACCTTCTTTTCAGATGTCAACAAATGCACCAACCTTTAATAGCAGAATAGAAATGTGCTATGCTAATTGCTTGCTTCGTTTTTGTTAAAGACTACCAAAAAAAAGCCTATATTGTTTACTCAGTAGGGGCAAAACACAGTGATTACTTGGAAGAAAAGAACTAAAATAAGTCCTAGCCTTACACTTGGGAGGAGCGATTTGAAAGTTGTCAGAAGGGCTTCCTTGTATTGGAATATACTTGTCTGTTCCTGTATAAATCTGCTTAAATTTGGCCTAGTCTTGATCCTTAAGATTCTGAGCAACTTGCAAACTTAGAGTTTAATAACTTTGTTCTCTCACGTGGGTGTGAGCTATCTAGGATTCAGCAGAATTTCTCCTGTAATGCAGCTTTGTATTGTTGCGTTGTTCAATTCTTCTTATATTCTGAGTGTTCTCCTCCTTGTGGTAGGTAACAGAAGAAAAGATGTCTGAGCTAAATGCAGAAAATAATATGAACTCTTGAGGGGATATGGGGGTAGACTGATACACGGAGCCAGTGGAGGGGAGGCAGGCTGACTGAACAAATGATTTGAAAGAAAATGACAGATCTGGGAGTCATTAAATGTGATGGGGGGAGTGACTATAAAGAATGTGGCAGGATGAGGTTGGGGCAAAAGCCAAAAACTGACATAACTGTGAGCACCTGGACAAAGTAAGTGGGATAGGAGATGATAAAAGGATGCAGAAAAAAAAGCATATTGCATGTGGATCACACACTGAGATTCTGTAAGGCATCTGTGAAAGAATGGGAATGGAAGTCCTGCTGGCCAAGTGATTTGGATGGTCTGGAGACCCATTTGGAGAAACAAATTGAATCAAAAGTTGAAGGGCAGTTTGCTCTGGCAGAACAAGATGATGCAGGTGGATGGGTGGTCAGGTGTAGTCAGATAAGGGACTGGGGAAAACTTGTTCAGGGTTTGCTGGACAAGTAGACTGCTCCCCAGACAGGAATACAAAGTAGAAAGTTGAGGATGGCAACACAGAAAGAAAGAAAAGACCTAGGAAATAGATCGGGGGAAAAGGACAACTAGGACAAAATGGAGGGATGATAGAGAAAGGACAGGAAAAGACTTACGGAAAATGACCTGAAAAGATGGATGCCCATGACCGCAGTGATTCTTACTGCTGAGGAACATGCACTGGGTAAGGTCGCTGCACTTAACAGGTTTGAAGGGCAGCATGGGTTTAGGCTTGAGTACTTCATCATACTCTGATGATTATTCAACTTAGCCAAAAAGTGATCTTGGATTATTCTCTTGCTTGCCTTAATCCATTCATCTCATTCACTATTCAAATGTAATGTGCACCATATTAAGTGTTCATGCTCTAATACAGCTTTGACCTATTAAAAAAAAAACAAACCAAACAATAACTCACTAGACTGCATAGTGCCACTTTTGAGTTTTACCTGTAGAAATTTTAGCAGCCCTAATGAGGACATACTTCTCCCTTTAGTGGACTAAACTCCTGAAACTACAGAGCGGTATTGAGTGTGCCAGCACCAGGCACTATCTGAAGTCAAATTTTAGGCCTCTCATTACTCTTCTTTTTTCCCCATCCTCCAAAAAATGGATAATTCTGGCCATAATGTCTCTTTGACTTCAGTATGTGATCTACAACATGATGATAACACAGTCTCTTTCCACAGGAAAATCTTGATGAAACAGTTTCTGCAAGAAAAATAGCTTGTGGTCAAGACTGTTTGAATTTCATGATATTAAAAATTGTCCTCTTTTGACCTTTTCTGGTATCTTCTAATTTTTCTTTTTGTAAACTTACATGTTTTGGCTTAATCGACAATTTATGTTCATTCTGGTCAAGACATTAAAATAATGTTGTAATAAATTAGAATACATTATCAAAGGTATATTAGAAAATTATA